TTCTGACCCGACTTCTTACCAAATCTTTGAATCAACATTTCAGAGAATTCAATCCAAGAAAGCTTACCAACAGACTTGATGACTCCCTGGTACCAGACCTCTGCTTTTCCATCCAAGAAAATTTCCACAGAATCAACCTTCTCGTTCTCTGGAATGCGATGAATCAAAAAGTACTTCCTGCATTTCTAAAGCCATTTCTGAGGGTCGATATCTCTAGTATACTCAGGTAAGTCCAAGCGAGGTTGTTGATACCACATCGGACCCAGGGTTTCCTGTTGCTGAAACTTGGCACCATCACTGGTTCATGGCTCAGTTGCCTTTTCGGCACGCGCTCCTTTGGATGAATTTGCCGATGTAAACCTCATATTGTTCTCTGCCGTTGACTTGTTCAACGCCTTCACTGGATTGGCGGTTTTCTGAAAGTACGGAGTCTTGCTGGCACCCGTTGTTGACGGAGAAGTTGACCCTTGCACCGGCGCCTTCTCCGGATTAGGCATTTGGAGTAACGATAGTTTCTCCAAGATCAAATTGAAGTTCGAGACGTTTTCAGCATCCCGCTCTGCAATTGAGGCCACCAACTGTTGAAACCTGGAATCCATGGAAGACAACTTCGACTCTAGGGTTTCCAGACGGGAAAAACTTTCCTCCGCGTGTGAATCCTTAGCCGTATTCTCAATCACCGATCTAGATCTCGCCATTTCTTGAAGTGATTTGAAGGTAATCGCAGATCAAGAAAACAATCGAAGGGAAGAATCGGAAGATTGAAGCGATCCAAGAACTAATCGAACGAAAGAGGAATTCGTCAACTGAGTCGGAGAAAATGGAAGAATTCGTAACAGTGACAGAGGATTAATGAAAAGGACGAACCAACAAATTCAGAGATTGAATCCGATGGATCAAGAATCGACTTCTGAAACAAAATCGATGAAGAGGAAACTCGTTCACGAACGAACGGAGTGTGAGGCGGAAGAATGGATGAAATCGAACCAACACAGCCAAAAATTGACTGGCTCTGAGGCCAATTTGTCAGATTCCGGTGGCGGAATCGACGGAAATGGGCGGATTCTGATAAGCCGGAGGTGGTCTGGGAGGTTAGGGTTCAAGAACCCGAAATGGAATTGGGAACGACAAGCGTTTTCTGGAAAATCAATTCAATATCAAAACTCTTCGATAATGTCCTTTTTGACCCCAGATAATTATTTATAATCCTATAGTTACCGGGTTTTACAATAAAGCCCCTAGACTATTGTTTAAGACTAATCCAGTCCAAGATCATGACACATAAAGCCCCCCAAGGCACAACTCATTTCTTCAATGTGATGTGCCTTTTGGATTCATCGGGCCAACAATGAATTGGCCTATATGTGATAGCCCACAAGTGTACTGGGTTGAAAAATAAGGTATGATGGCCCCCCAGTAAAAGGCATGACGGAAGTGGCGTCTTTGAATGAAGAAGTGGAACGATATCTGCTCCAAATTGAGCTGTTGGGGGACGACTTGTAACAGGCAACAGCAACTGCAGCTCAAGCAAAGGAGCTAGCGGCAAAACAGGCGGCATTAGAAGCAGACTTGAAAAACGTCCGAGAACAGCGCCAAGAAGCTGACCTGTTGTACCAGAAAATGGCTCAACAGTGTGCGGAGGCTATCAGCATGCATGATGAACGTGCCCAGGATACAAAGGAAAAGTCTATTCACTATGAAAATGCCCAGCCCATTGCAGAGGCAACCAAGATGTGGAATTTCTTGAAGGATGCTTTGAAAGATGTTGCTGTGCTGGCGGAAACTCCATCTCCAGATGCAACGGAAGAAGCGAACAAAGATGAAGATATATCGGAGGTGCAATCAGCTCTAGGTGGGGCTGCTGGGGAGTCAAGCGGTACTGGAGAAGGCAACTTAGACCAACATCAACCATAATTCCTACCACCTGCGTGTGGTTGCAAAAGATGGCGACTTGTGCCAAATTTATCTCTTTTTTATTTTTCTGAAATTATGGTTTTGGTTTTGGAACCGTGGAAGTACTTGGTTTGACTCTGTCATGAATAACGTTTTGCTGCAATTGTTTTGGCTTGGTCTTGATGTTGTTGATCCAACTGTTCCCTGAACCACCACGAGTACTTGGTTTGACTCTATCAACCTAATTCCCTGAACCACCATGAGTACCAACATTACTTGGGGAATTGAAAATTCCACTGAAACTCTATGGACTGATCTGAACATTACCCTAAGCAATAAAGGCTGTTGTTTCATTCATATGAGTATGTGCAATACCAAGTATCTTCTTTCATGCGTTCAACAACATGTTTAGAGCTTCGCTCACTATTGGTGATGGTTCCATAAGCTGAATCTGATCCTTCATTGACTCATAACTTCTATTGAGACCCATAAGAAAGTCAATTAACTTGTCCTCCTCATCTCTAGCCTTTAAAATCTTAGTTACAGCTGGAGAACAACCTTCTGGAAGAGGCCTATATTGAGAAAATTCTTCCAAACTCTCTTCAGCATACTATGATACCGGACTAAGGAATCATCCCCTTGCATAATTCCCAAACGATTCTTCCTGAGTTCATACAACAAATTGCTGTTTGGCGTTCCATGCTCCTTTGCCAATTGATCCCGGAGTTCTTGAGTAGTCATCTCATACATATAATCAGCCGCTATATCTGGACTCATAGCAACAATTAACCAGGACTTCACCGTGGAATCAACTTGTTTCCACCTTACATACTGAGGAGATCCAACAGGAGGACTTGGACATGTACCACAAATAAATCGAACTTTCATCTTGGATTCCAACACTGTAAAAATTGACCGAATCCAAATAAAAAAATTTCCAACAGTTAAAGGAGTGGTAACAAGAACCATACCAGGATAATCAGAGCCATGAAGATTCAAGGTCTCTTCATAGTTTCTCTGCTCCTCCGTAAGTCGATCACCAGACAAACCTTTGTGTGCCATGATTAATTGACCAAAGAACAACAAATTAAACCGATAAGAAACAAGATCTTAGCTAGCGGAAGCTTTCTACGGTCCCGATTTGGAATTAGAAACCTGTAGCTCTAGATACCATGAAGAATTGATGATCTAGGGTTTGTAAACCAAGAACACATACTAAAGGTGTGAATTAACGCAGCAATTGTGAAAATAGAAGCTCTTGATCTGAGCTGTACTTCTGATCATATATATATACAGATACAATTGCGTGGAGAACAAGCTCCCACATCAGCTTAGTATTTACAGACTAAAAAGAAGCTAACTAATCCTATACATGATGTATAAAAATTATACAGCTATACATGCTATCAACCAAAATCTAAAATAGTATGCATCACGTGTTCATCTTCATCAACAACGTCCAACTCTTCTATATTGTGGTCCTGCTTGTCGACATGGCTGTCAGGGTCTTCAAAGTCGACAGGCTGGAAGGCAGACTTGATTTCCTTGATGATGCTTATGTTGTATTAGGAAAATTAACTTATTAACTACCCCAAAAGAAATAATAAGACCAATGTTGAATGTTCGTATTAGCCATGCATGTGGCTACCAGACTTTCAATATTGTTTCGATTGCAGTTTTAAGCTGTCATGATAAGGCTAGTATTCACTTTCATTCCTCAAGGCAATTCGAGTTGAAAATTGTAGAATTGAGATCATGTTAGCTCGCAAAGAAGAAGAAAAAAAAATCAATGAAAAGTTTTGTGATTCAAGAATGAGTTCCAAACAAAAATATCAATGCGTGAAGGGAATAAATGTTGCTATATTTTGTGATTAACAACTTTCATCATTGGTTTAAGAGTAGTTTAAAATTACAAATTAAGAGAACTTGATTTTTTTTGAAGGATCAATTAGTTGCCAAACACTTTTTAACAAGCATATTAATTCGTATGGAGCTCTCGAGTAGAAGTTATATAATTAGCATCATTCAAAGTTCTTTCCCTTATAGCAGGCTTGTTTAAAAAGGCAGTGCCCCTCTATAACATGAACGTGTATTTCTGGTCAAAGAGTCACAAAACATGAAATGTTATCCTGCCAGATAATCAGAGAACAAGGAAAAAGGAGGATTTACACAACGCAAAATTAAATGACATAAGATGAAAATCCAGTCAAAGGAGTAGCATGTACTTGGTCATATGTATATCCAACATACCTAGGTGAAAACGAGGAACTTCTTGTACACGGTAGAAATTCCGTATGAGGTCTAGTTTCTCAACTGAAGGGCACAAGCCTTCCATGAAAACAAAATTTTTCTGATTCAACCAATGCTGGAAAGCAAGACTAAGCATGAATTAGGTGAAACAAAACTAAGTTGTAAGAACTGATAATGGAAAATGATTCTCATCCAAAAACAAGAGCCTAATCACAAGGATTTGCATGTGTATATGTTTCAATAAACTAATTACTGCAAAGGGATGCTACAACAGGTCGCAGGTTAATTTGAGTCTCAGAATTTACCTCTTGTATCACCCCATTACAAGATACAGACAACACCTTCTAATTCACTACAGTAATCGTCCGAACGTTGTATCATCGAGTCACATTCTGAAAGCTAATTGCTAGTAGTCCAATATGCAGGGCAAACAATAGTCATTATCATGATCATGTTCTCTTAATAAATCAAAAAGAAAAAATGTTAGAAGACCCACCAGTCCACAAACTAAATCCCAAAGGGCAGAAACAGGCTATTCAGCTGAATTTCCATACTGCGGAGTTTAAGGTTACAAACTAACAAACAGAGAGAGATAAAGAAATGTACGAAAACCCTCTTAGTTACAAGCAGAATGATATAGGAACGGTTATTTGTTTTTTGCGGGAAAATCAAACCTTCGTTCTCGAAAGATAAAGCGATTGAGAGAAATGGAACCTTGAACTTCGGGTTTCAGGGGATGCTCTGCTCAAAGGCCTTTTCTTTTTTTTCGTTTTTTCCTAATCCCTTTTTGTCTTTAATTCTTTAAGGATTTATTTGTGTTTTGTCCCTTTTTTATACGGTCCCTCTTTATAAATAACCTCTTCCACCTCCATTTCAGTTTTGCTTTCACTCCAAAATAAGTTATCTAAATATTTGAACATCCGATCACTCGATCTCTCTCCCTTTCTCCGGTGAATTGTATTGGTAGTCCTTCTATTATCATTGTGTTTTTTCCCCGACTTCTTAAACGATACGCTGATCCTCCAAACTCCAAAGTTTCTTCCGGAAAGGCGGAAAATCTTAGACAGTAGCTGAACCATTTCAGAAAAAGCTCGATAGTGGTAGCTTAATGTGTTCTTAAACACGGGAATGGATCGATTTCTTTTTAGCTTCACTCTAAATAATAGATATGGGATTAGGTCCAGCTTGGTTATGTGGTTAAGCTCTCTAGAATTCCTAGCTAAACTCTCTGTCTGCTTCTCTGCTTCGAATTAGATGCAGCAGCATAAGTTGCTCTGTAAATTGAGAGCTATTGCGATTCTTCAGTATCCCTGACCGGATGGTGATTCATACCTGGCTTTTTGGTCAATTCCTCCGTCATCAGCTTGCTGTTACTCACAACTCACGGAGGGTCATAATCCCATATTCAAACAATCTTAACAAAATCGACCGTGGTGGTGGCATTGCATTCCGAATCAAATGAAGAGAAAACTTAAAAGTGTTTGGAGTCTGAATTTGAGAAGTTGTTAACTACTCTACGTTTGTAATCTCTGCCTGGTTGTATTGAATTTATAATTCGTTGCCCGAAATAAGCATATTAAATTGCAAATATTGATTAATCTTTTTCTTTTTCCTTCTAAAAGTTCATGATTAGTCTCGTCTTGATGTTTTCCTAATTCTGGGCATCAAGCGTGCAGTTATATATATTTTTTTTCCCTAAACCTCACTTAGAAAAGGAGGATTTTGTCTTGGCGAAATGGTCGTATCTTCAAAGGCATTGATGGAAGTGCTTCAAAAAGAGTACATGAAATTGATGACCATGTAAAAAATGTTGTCAAAGCTGCTATTGCGGATAAGAAGCTTGGTAGCGTTCAAAGGGGGTGGGAGACACGGTTGATTCATTGGTCTCCTCCTCCAATAGACTGGTGGAAAATTAATTCTGATGGCAGTTTCAATAGAGATTCGGGTATGGCTTGTGCGGGTGGAGCTGTTAGAGATTCCTATGGCCGATGGCTGGGAGGCTTTACTATGAACATAGGTTTTTGTACGTTCACGGGTGCCGAGCTATGGGAATTATTTCAGGATTTGGCACTTGCATGAGATATGGGAGGTCGAAAAGTGATCGCAGAAGTTGATAGTTTGAGTGTCATAGCAATGGTACAAGACCGAAAGGAAGTTGTCGGACTCAATGTTGGATTAGTTAATGGGGTCCGGGTCCGAGATTTATTGAGACGGGATTGGGATGTGAAACTCAGGTATGTGTTTCGTGAAGCTAATTTTGTGGCTGACTATTTGGCTTCATTAGCTACATAAGGACCAGGCGGACTGCATAGACTTGAGGCTCCACATTCAGGAGTACGACCTTGGTTGAAGCATGATTTAATGGGAGTTGCTTATCCCAAAATGTACTGAGTCGAAATTAAGCTTCAAGCCTCCTTTTTAACAAAAAAAAAAAAAAGGAAAAAGAGACACCTAGACCTAGGGAACCGTCACAGTTCTTGAGTTCATTATGTGGCAGTCAGTCACTCAGTCCTTCTCTAGTTCTTTCCGAGTTCATAGGCACCGGGACACATCCAAATTGTGATACTCCTTTCATCGCGAAATTATTGTGCAATTTGAATTTTTATTTTTAGTAAAACTGAATTAAAGGTGAAATTCTTAGCTAGACAATAATTTTGGGTTGGAGTGAGTACTTTTTACTATCTCTTAATTTTTTTGTAAGAAAAATAAAAAATTCATGATACTCCTTCCATTCTAAAATAAAGTGTCATTCTAGAGTTTTCACACAGTTTAAAAAAATATTAAATATGGTAGCTAAATTACTAGAATATGCTCAACCAACCCCATTAAAATAAATGCTCACCAATAATATTATTTCTTTTGAGGGTATGTTTGAAAATTTTTGAAAAAAAAAATGCATTGGAATCCGAAAATGACACTTATTTTGAAACTTCTCCATTTTGCTAAAACGACACTTATTTTGGAATGGAGGGAATATTTCTTTTTATTCAGGCAATCATTTGAACGAATTAAATAATTGGGCGAATTGAGTAAATAACCTGTTGAGTTTTTTCCTGAATCCAATTTCGAAATCGCGGGAGGGGGTGGTGGTGGATGTCCGGGGGATGTCTAAAAGTAGTTGAGTTGTGTGGGCTGGACTCCGAAACGTAGGTTGATAGCTTGTCGGTGTATTTGGTTTGTTACTTAGAAGATCAATGCGATAGATGTGGAAGTACAAAATTTAGATCATTGATGTCAATGATTTATTAGTTTTCGACAAGATAACCAATGGTATGACAGTTTGGTAATTAATTAATTTCAGCTTTAAAGGTAAACATTTAAGATGTTTTACATAAAGAAGCACTAGACGTATGAGCCATACAACTTCTCATATGCATGTTCAATTTGTGGTTGAGAGAGCATAATTTTTCTCGCCCAGTAACAATATGCCCCGAAATCACCATAATCACATTTACCCAGTTGTATCCTTCCATGATAAACTGATGTTCTTTAGCAGTGAATTTTCCTCACATATATCCTTTAAGGGAGCAAGAAAAAAAAAACAAAAAAAGCAGGTTTATACTCTTTCCGGTCCTTATTATAAATCATTTTGATTTTTCTTAAGTTTTTAACTAGTATACATTTTTTATTGTCAAAAAAACTTTAAAAAGATTTCATAACAATAAAGAGAACACAAAGAATGTGAAAATATATTTTTAAAGTTTTTTTATCAATTAAAAATATATATTAGATAAAATTTAGGACAAATTAAAATACCTTATATTAAGGACCGAAGGAAGTATAATGCAAAATTATGACATCAAAAGGAAAAAACGGAGTCAAAGTTTGGTAGTAAGTGTGAGAACTGCCAAATTTGGAGTAAAAAATTTCAGTTCCCGCGGGGACGCTTTCTGGTCAAAGGACTTTCGATTTTGCCTTTTTAAGTTTTAATTCTCTCTATCATTCATTTCTATGTTTCTTTTGTTCTTTTTTGAAAATCATTTCCGTGCCTTTATAAATTAATAACCCCAGACAGAAGTTTTGTGGTTCAAGTTTACTACACACGTCAGTCTTTCTTCCTCGAATCGTTTTGCTTCTCCTTCAGAGTGATTTTTTTTTTTCCCAAATAACTCTACAGTTTCTTTAAAAAGAGAAAAAAAAAGATCAGAACCATTTCAACATTCTTCCAACTCCCTCTGTTTATGCGTTCCCGAAAAGGCAAGTCAAATGAATCGATTTCAATTTTGCTTCACTCTAAGTCGAAGATTAAGCTCTCTAGAATTCCTAGCTAAAATCTGCGCTTGCCCAGAGCAAAGGCGGTCCTTGCTCTGCTTCATGGACAATGCCTTCATCACATAAATCGGATTTTCAGGTTTGGAGCTGGGGCTGCATTATAGAGTATTCAATTCCAGGCTTCAAGGGGTAAAACGTGCTTGGTTAGATAAAATCGGTGCGATTTTATTGTATTAGAACCAAGGAGAGCTCAAAAAATGATTGAGTTCTGAATCTTGAGATATGTAATACTACATGTCACTCAGGAACGAGCATTACGGATGTAAATATTCATTTATGTATTTACGGTGTAGGTTTACCTAGTTACGGCCTTGACTAGTATATATATTCATGTTGTACTAAACCCTAACACACGGTATTATTATTTTTGGCCGAAGTCTAATGCCGTCCGCCCGTTCATCTTCTTCGATCTCTTCATGGTATCAGTCGGGTTGATTTTACTCTGATTTTCAATCTGATCATTCGCCGTCATCATGTCTGGAAAGGAAGATTCCTCTTCATCGTCCGATGACGAAATTGCATCTCACAAAACTATTTCGCCTTATGATTTGACGTCCAATGACAGTTCTGGACTCATTCTTACCCATGTTTTGTTGAGGGGCGAATACAATTATGATGAATGGTCCAAGATGCGTATGGGTCTTCAGGCTCGCAAGAAATTCGGTTTTGTCGATCGTTCCATAACAAAGCCGAAGAAAGCATCGAATTTGGAAGATTGGTGGACTATTCAGTCACTCATCAGTTCGTGGATCATTAATGTGATGGATCCTTCAATTCGGTCGACGATTCCAGAGAAGGAAGTGGCCGCTGACTTATGGGATCATCTTCAACAACGTTTTAGCATTGTTACTGGCTCTCGGGTGCAGCAGTTGAAGGCTTGATTGGCCGAATGCAAGCAAGGCTCTTCGTCCGTTGAGTTGTATTACGGACAATTGCAAAAGATTTAGGACGACATTGGTGATTCGGATCGTCCGTCAGTTGATTCTTTGTGTGCTCCGTGTCAAGTGAAGATGGCGGATATCCTGGAGCTTCACCGGGAAACGTTGCGGTTGCATCAGTTTCTGATGGCCCTGAACGTCGACCTATACGCCTTCGTTCGCTCCCAAATTTTGTCCATGCAGCCTCTGCCAACTCTCGCCGGGGCATATGCACTCGTCGTGCAGGAGGAGAAGCTTCGGTCGACTCAGCAGAAGGAGATCCCTGGGGCGATGATGAGTTTTGCTGTCAATTTTCCCACTGACAGTCCTGTTCGCAGCTCTTCACTTTCCGGCGTGGATGTTGCAGCCCTTGCCGCGGCGGTCAGTTCCAAGTCCAAAGGCAGGTGTTCACGGCATCGAATTGTTTGCTTCCACTGCCATAAACCCAATAATGACATCACCGAGTGTTTTCAGCTCCATAGGTACCCAGAAAACTGGAGCAGCAATCGGAGCTTCGGCCGCGATCGTGGGCACGGGTCTGGTGGCTGTGGAAATTGGTCCAAGTCCAGCTACTTCCGGTGCAATTGGTTCTTATTCTGGTCTGGCTACTTCCGGTCCAACTGGTTCTCTTTCTGGTCCAGCCGGTTCAACTGGTTTGGTTCATGCAGCAGCCACTTTGGTTCAGCCGCCTGTTTTTGGTTCCTATGAGCAAACCGGCCTATCTCCTAACCAATGGACCAGCTTACTTTCTATGTTGAACTCGGCCAAAACTGGGTCGAATGATAAATTGTCTGGTAAGCCTCTTTCCCACCGGTGGATGTATGACTCGGGCGCTACTCGTCATATGAGGGGCTCTATTCATTTCTTTCGCGATGTGCGCGATATTTCTC